TAATTGGCCTCTAGGTGGTGTCCCACAATGCTCATCTGTGACCGCTCTGTAGATCATTCTCTACTCTGCTGCACTACAGCCAGGTACACAGGAAACAGCCCCTCCCCTGCTAAAGCCCCAGGAATTTTTGATTTCCCATTTCCTGTTTGATCAGCATTGGGAGCGTGCTGGCTTGAGCACAGCTGATCATGGAGACTACACTCCAGCCTGGTCTGCACAGGAGGTGGTGGATCTCATCGCTGTGTGGGGAGAAGAGTCTGTACAGGCAGAGCTCCGATCCAGCAGAAGAAACGCTGACGTCTATGCAAAGATCGCTCAGGGAATGGGGGAGAAGGGCTACATGAGGGACACACAGCAGTGGTTCGTGAAAATAAAACAACTTTGCCAAGCATACCAGAAAGCAAGGGAGGCGAACAGTCATTCTGGTGCTGAACCCCACACGTGCCAGTTCTACAATGAGCTGCAGGTGATTCTCGGGGGTGACCCAGTACCCCCACAAGCAACATGGACACCTCAGAGGTGTGTGAGTCTAGGGACAACAGGGAGGATGATATGGTGGATGAGGAAGAGGAGGAGAATGGGAGACAGGCGAGCGGTGGATCCATTCTCCCTGAGAGCCAGGAAATATTTTTAACCCTGGAGTCCTGTGTAAACAGCTTCCTTTGGTGCTATGGGGAGGGGCGATTGTTCGACTAGCTACCTCTGCTCCTGACATGAGCCTGCCATAAACTTCATTAAAAGTGTGGTCACGCATAACTGGGGGTGGGTGCTACTTACCATGGCTGGAACAGCAAAACAGCACCGTGAACAGTTCTGATTATGTCTTGGACCTACTATAATAAAGGGTTTTTTTTTATGAAAATGGCCTTGCTATGGAAACATTTTATGCATGTACAATGGTCCCTTTCTTTTTTCCCATGACTGACAGCTGGAAAACTGTCTTTCGTCATGTCATCAACACCTGAAAGCAGACTTTTGCTGATTAGAAGGAGGAGAAAGAGAACGCGGGAGGACATGTTCACCGAGATAATGAACGCCTCCAGGACACCTGAGACAGAACTGAGAGCGTGGAGGATTTCACTGTCTGAGAAGTTAGACATGGACATGGAGAGCAGACAAGCTTCCCATGAGCACGAGTGTGCAGCGCAGGATGAGATGCTTCAGATTATGAGGGACCAATCAGCAGGGCCGGCTCTAGGCACCAGCAAAACAAGCTGGTGCTTGGGGCGGCACATTTTTAGGGGCGGCATGGCTGGCACCAGAATGCCGCCCCTAAAAATGTGCCCCGGCCGCCCTAGCTCATCTCCGCTGCTGCTGCCACGGCGCGTGAAACAGCTGATTCGCGCGCCGCTACTAGCCCTCCCTCCCAGGCTCTCAAACCTGGGAGGGAGGGGGAGACTCCGAGTGGCCGCGGCGCCGCCTCTCCCCCTCCCTCCTAGGCGTGAGAGCCTGGGGGGAGGAGGCAGGGCTGGGGATTTGGGGAAGGGGCGGACTTGAGGCGGGGCCGGGGGTGGGGTAATTAAATAAGGGGGGGCGGCCAAAATTGTTTTTGCTTTGGGCGGCAACAATCCTAAAGCCGGCCCTGCCAATCAGACATGTTGAGGCGTCTAGTTGAACTGCAGGAACAGAAGCAGGAGGGTAGAGTCCCTCTGCAGACCCTGGTGGACAGCCAGCCAGCATCGCCTGGTGCAGAATCACCTTCCTCCAAGCATTCCAAGAGGTGTGGGCAAAAATTCCATTATCTCTTTCACTTAACTCGGGTAGGGTACAAGGAACAGAAGGCGCCCGTTCACAGACCTTTGATGGTCTAGAATGCGGTGTTATGTTACACAGCTGAAAATGTTTCTCCCGTTCCAACTTCACAACCCCTTTTCCCCAAAGCTAACTCTTTTTTCTGTTCTCCCTCTTTACTTATGTCTGTTAAATAAAGTAAATGGATTCAAGAATTAAATGTTATTTATTGAATAGAAGCAGTGGGCTTGGGCGTGGGTTGGCTTTATAGGGACAGTGATACAAGCCAGGTGAAGCTTTGGGAAAGCACAGTGCAGACAAGCAGCTCACATTACTGAGACTCATTATTGAAACGGCTTTTCAAAGCCTCGTGGATATGCAGCGCCCCTTGCTGTGCTCTTCTTATTGCCCTGGTGTTTGGCTGCTCAAAAGTGGCTGCCATGCAATCTGCCTCAACTGCCCAACCCTGCGGAAAATTTCCCCCCTTTTTCCCCACAGATATGGAGCACACAGCTGGCAGCTATAACCATGGGGATGTTCTCTTCTAAGGTCCAACCTTGTTAGTAAATTTCTCCAGCGCCCTTTTAAATGGCCAAAGGCTCATTCAACCACCATTCTGCACTTGCTGAGCCTATAGTTGAACCGTTCCTTACTGTTGTCCAGATGGCCAGTGTATGGCTTCATAAGCCATGGGAGCAAGGGGTAGGTTGGGTCCCCCAGGATAACTACAGGCACCTCAATGTCATCAGTGTTCATTTTGTGGCCTGGAAGGGAAGTCCTGGATTGCAGTTTTTTGAACTGACCCAAGTTCCTAAAGATGTGCGCGTCATGAACCTTTCCCGACCATCTTACATTGATGTCAGTGAAACACCCCCTGTGATCTACCAGTGCTTGCAACACCATTGAAAAGTATCCCTTTTGGTTTATGCACTCTTTGGCAAGGTGGTCTGGTGCTAAAATAGGGATATGCATGCCATCTGTCGCCCACCGCAATTAGGGAACCCCATCGCGGCAAAACCATCCACTATGTCCTGCACGTTTCCCAGACTCACTATCCTTCATAGCAGAAGTCAATTAATGACCCTGCACACTTGGAGCACAGCAGTGCCTATGGTTGATGTAACTACTCCAAATTGATTCCCCACTGACTGGTAAGTGCCTGACGTTGCAAGCTTCCAAATAGCGATCACCACTCGCTTCTCCACTGTCAGAGCAGCTCTCATTTTTGTGTTGCTGAACTGCAGGGCAGGGGAAAGCTCTGCACAAAGTTCCTGGAAGGTGGCTTCCGCATTCGAAAGTTCTGCAGCCACTGCTCGTCATCCCATACCCGCAAAATGATGCGGTCCCACCAGTCAGTGCTTGTTTCATGGGACCAGAAAGGGTGCTCAACAGACTGCAGCTGCTCTGTGACTGCCGGCGGCAACTCTGAATTGTTTTTTTCAATGGCTTGCAGCAGGGCTGCTTGCAGGACATTGCTATGTTCTGCGTGCCGGACCCTACTTCGGCTCTGGAAATACTGCAGGAGAAGGCGCGAGGTGTTTGAGATGCTCACAGCAAGAGTGCACAACTGAGCAGGCTCCATGCTTCTGGGGTTATGGTGTATGCGCAGGGTTTTAAGGCATGAAAACCACTGGGTTGTTTGCTGTTGATGTGAGGGAGGATAGTGCGTCATGGGATACTGACGCAATGTTCCCATTCTCCCCTGCGACAATGTTTTGGTCCCATGAGGCATGGCACAAACTTCCCAAAACACACTGCGGCAAGTTGCACTTTAGAATAGCCACCCATGATGCACTGCTTTGTGCATTGATGCAGGCGCTGCTAGTGAGGACACACTCCATCGAGACAATGAGCATGGTGTGGTCATGCACAATCGACTTAATTCGGAGGCTTGAGTTCAAATTAGATAAAGTCTACTTAATTTTGTAGTGTAGACAAGCCCTTAGTCTGTCTGCAGACTCAGGGAAACAACACATCTGTTAGACTAAGTTAATGTTTTTAACCTTTCCTGCATAAACACAAAAGATCTTTACTTTTAAAATAATAGCTTAGACTGTTATTCAGCTCTGCAGCAAAAGTTGATCATGTGGCTGATCCTATGATTCTGGAATGCACTAGTCTGTGAAAGTAATGCCAGTTGTGTTTATTACAGTGCTAGTGAATGGTGACTTTACAGTAGTAGCACAGCGTTAGCCTGGGCTTCCCAAACAGGATTTACTACATTTTAACTTAATTAAGATGACACAAGTGCACGTCTTCAGAGCAACACAAGCACTAAACAGCAAAGTAATCATAAATGTAGGTAAACAGTACCAATCTACAAGGAGTAGCCATCAATATGTTAAATCACACTAGTAACCTTTCTGTCCTTCTGTTTCAGTTCATGCTGCCACGCAGCGTGCATACATCCCAGAATGGAGAATCGCACTGAAGTGCACAAACACCTGTTTAATTATCTATTTTGTTGTAGCATATTATGAGTATACATTTGAAAATGGTTGTGTACATTTGGATAAGATTTGTGTGGTTTGGTTGGTTAATGTATATTGTAGTTGATGTGACTTTTTTAGTGGTAATGTAGATGTTGCTTTTCAGAAGGTAAGAAATAAGTGTATGTAATCAATGCTTGAATTCTTTGGTATATGGTAATATTAAAACTGTAAATATTATATCGTCACATTTTCAGAAATGTTCACTAACTTTATGGATCTAATTTCTGTGTTCCTACCTTGAGAAACTTTCAGCACCTCTGAAAATCAGTCAGTTTCTTCTCAGTTCAGGCACAAAAAATTAGTGAATGATTTTGAAAACAGTAGCCATAATTATTAAATATAGCATTGGAATATTCAAGTGTAGGCTGTGCCATTGCAGCATGATCTAAGTTCTTGGTATCTCTCTAGCTACAAAAGGTCTCGTAATTTTTCTTTAAGATCTAAACTATTTCCAGTGCTGGCTGGTTTAAAAGCAGGATCTTCAAGCCTGCTGAGTATTGGTATGTTACAAAACAATCTTTGCCCCCACCCCTTTAAAAATGTAAATAACACTGGTAAAGCAATATAGTGATAAACTTCCAAAGCATAGACTTGATTCTTCTGAATCCAAATTTTATTGGAGATTAGAAACAATTTTATAAGTGTTAAGCGAAAGCACCACTTAATTTTAAACCATATTAATGTAGCATCATTAACCAAAGAAATGTTCTACTGTTAAAAATGGTCATTTGATTCTCTTGTCAAATATCCTTCTCTGTTGTTCCTTTATTTTGTTTTTATTAGAATGGTAATTTCAGAGTGCTTCCTGTTTGAGTTAATAACCAGAACCTGGGCTTAATAAATGGCTGAGGAATTTCACTTGGGTAATAATCATATTGTGGGCTAATAGGAAGGCCTTTAACTTAATATTATCAAATGTTAATTTAAAAAATAAGATTAAAAAATGCTACAATCCCTTCCTCCGCTACCCCAACCAAAATTGTCTGTCAAACTGCTGAAAGATTTATTTATTTATTTTTAAGCAATTGCCTTTCCTCTCTTCTCTCCTCCCATGTTTCTCAAATGTGGGGAACAATGTGTGAGAGAGACCCAGAATGAAGAATATAAAAATTGTTCGTAAAGGAAACTTTTACCCTGTGGGATGCATTCCTTCAGTGTAAAGAACTGTCTTTAGCTTCTGTTTCATGATTATTTCTGATGTAGATACATTCTAATAGTGAATGGACACCACATTTGTGTGAACATAGATAACTTTGGGATTGAAATGAGGGTCATTTGAGTGAGATCGCATCCTATTATTGCACTTATCATAATTGGAAGGCGGAAAGAGGGTTCTTCATCCACCCCTCACTCCCAGTTCTCTTCCTAATGAATGGTATTTGGGAAACAGGTATCAGTGGTCATTTGGTCAAAATTTAGACAATTTAGTTTTGTACTACCCTCTGATTTTCTTTTTCAAAGCTTTATGTAATTTGAGTATTTAAAATGACATTGGCAACTTGAATTTTTTGGAGCAGACTAATTTAAAATTAATTTTTCTGATAATACTTCTAAATAATTTTTTAATATTAAAAAAGAAAGGCTTTTCTGGTTCCCTCGCCTGTGTTTGTAAGGGTCTTTTGGGTGGTCCT